GAGCAGAAATCGGACCTCACAGCTGACTGGGAACTGGACACACGGAAGAGCTGCGGGCTGCATCGGGAACAGGAGCAAGAGGGCGGGAGTTCGAGGAAATCAGAGTCAGTGGGCGTGAGGCAGTCAAACGGGCAAGGCTCGCCTTGGGACTGGAGCCTTTCAGGATCTGGAGCCCACAGAGCCACACTGCTGTGCTGAGTGAATGGAGGAGGAAGTGGGTATTCTGCCCCCTTTCTCCTATTCACAGAGCCCCAGAGCGGGAGCAGTCTCCCGGCTCCGGGCCAAACCATCCTGCACGGGGACAGCTTCGCCATGTCCACCTGCCGTAGGGGCCAAGCCACTAGGACTTGAAGAGCAAGAGGAGCAGCCCGGCCCCCAAAAACCATCTGTGTCTCGGAGCTTCCAGAGCTTCAGCCTCTTATCTTTCCCCACGGAGACCACTGCGGGCCCAGATTCCAGAGGACGGGGGCTTCTACGCCTGCTAGTGGGACAGCCATGGAGTGAGGGGAGCCTGCTTGCCTGACACAGGATGGGGTCAAGGGATGGTGGGCAGGTCCTCACTCAGTAGTGGGGGGTGTAGGCTGGCCAGCCCCCATGGCCTGTCCACCAAGAGCAGCGCCTGTGGGTATCAGTATTACCTGAGCCGAGGCCAGAGCCAGCCCGAGGCTGGGGGAGGGGATGGAACTCCAGGTCAGAATGTGAGGTCTTGGTCTGTGATTTAAGGTGTTGCATGTGGAATCTTAAACTGTACGTGTAGTTTCTAGTGGAAAAATCAAGGCGCTGATTATTTTGTTTTTAGTATGAAAATGTGATTTCTGTTTGTAACTCATAGAAACATTGTGGTGGGAGGAGAGGGGGATAGTCTGCTAACGAGGGAAACACCAAAGATCTACATCATTAAAATGATGACATGCCCCTCACCAGGCTCCGCTCTGTGTGTTCTTATGGAGGATGTGGGGGTTGGGGGTGATGGGTTGGGGACAAGGGGGGGTCTTTGAAATGAGCTGGGCTCAGGTTCTCCTGGGCACTGTTTTTTGGTGCTGCTGGCCTCCGTGGGGAGCCTTACCTGATGGCCTCAGCATAAGCCACTCAGGTACACGCTGCCACCTCTGCTTTACACCCAGTCTGTACTACCATCGCCTGCTTCCTCTGAGCTGGCTAGGGATTGGGGCAACTTTAACAGTGAATGACAGAAGGCCACTCATCTTGGTTGCTTCCTACCCAGGACTATGGGTCTGGAGTGAATAACTGGCAAAAAGCTGGACCCCTCCAGTCCTAGGAAAGAACCCACAACGGAGTTGGAGCTTGTTCTTGTCTACAGACACCCCATAAAGATGCCATTTGCTGCCCCTCAGGTTCCCTTTACTTTGTGTCCTCAGTACAGTGACTGAAAGGCCTGCTTATTCATGGGCCTTGGCCACTTTAAGGTTCAAGCTGATGTGGTTCTGCTGGTTGAGCGTCATCCCGTGCACTGATAGGTCACCAGTTCGATTTCTGTTCAGGGGACATGCCTGGGCTTAATATCTACCGTTTCCCCGAAAATAAGACAGTGTCTTATATTAATTTTTACTCCCAAAGATGTGCTAGGTCTTATTTTCAGGGGATGTCTTATTTTTCCATGAAGAAGAATACAGTACACATTTATTGTTAAATGAAAATAAAGGAAATTTATTACCTGTATACTGTAGTACGGTAGTTGTCAACCTAAACCAGACAAACTGTGAATCCTACAGTATCAAGAATTTACTCATTTATTCTATGACAATCATGTCATCATCTTTTGGAACATCATCATAACAATCCAATTCCTGAATTTCCTGGTGAAATTCTTGTGACTCCATTTCTTTCAGAATCAGTGGACCAAATCTCTCATGTTTAGCAATAGCATTCTGAGATAGAGCCTAAGGGGGTCCTTATTTTCGGGGGATGCCTTATATTTCACTCAGAAGGAAACCTGTAAGTAGGTCTTATTTTCGGAGGATGTCTTATTTTTGGGGAAACACGGTAGTAAGGAGTATATAGGTGGCAGCCCATCGCTGTTTCTCTCTCCTCCCCCTGCTCTAAAATCAATAAAACATACTTTTTACAAGTTTCAAGCCAATTAGAAAGTGGCAGAAGAATATTTGTCCCAAATCATACAAAGATATACAGGAAAATCAGAGCCACCCCAGGCTTCTGCGTAGTAACAAGTACTTCTTGAGTATCTTTTGCGTGTCTAATTGTGTCCCAGACTATAGTTTACGCATAACTATGCTACTCCAACAGAGACAAAACCAAAAGGTTAAATGGAAAAGCAAGTAATACAAAAAAGTGTGAAGAGTTCTATAATTAGGAGCATTAGAATGTTCTAGAAAATTATATTTAACAGTGGACTTCACTAAAGGACATCACTTAGCTGTGTGACTTAGGGCAAGCCACTTGCCTTTTTTCTTTTTTTTTTCTTTTTTCTTTTTGTTGTTAATCCTTATCTGAAAATATTTTCCATTGATTTTTATTTATTTTTTAATATTTCTATTGATTTCAGAAAGGGAGAGATAGAAGCATTAGTGCTGAGAGAATTATTGATAAGCTGCCTCCTCCATGCCCTCTACTAGGGATTGAGCCTGCAAGCCAGGCATATGCCCTTTACTGGAATTGAACCCAGGACCCTTCAGTTTGCAGGCCAACCTATCCACTGAGCCAAACTGGCTGGGGTGCCACTTGCCTTTTCTCTGCTTCACTTTCCTGCCTTGTATTATAATAGGACGCAGGGCTTGCAACCTCTCAGTTACTTCTATAATCTAAATCCTTGGAGCTCAGCACTGGTTAGTACAGGCTCCCATGAAGAGGTGGGACTTGAACTATGCGTTGCCAGATGGGGAAGAATCCCTTAGCTGACAGTGGGGCTATGAATTTGTTAAGTGTAAACCTTGGCCAAGGACTCCATGAGTAATCTCAATCTTCTTCACAAAAACCCTCTAAAGTGGGCACTGACTAGTATTGCACGCAGACCGCTTAACTAGTGGAGCCACGGTTTTAATCCAGGTGGGACCCCGACTTGCTCTGTCATTTTGTAAAAAGGGCATTCAGCCATGTGGGTGAGGCGATCCAAATCCGGCCCTGTCTGGCCTCACCTCTGCCCTCCCCAGCCAAGGATGAGCCCAGTCCACCCTGTCACAACACCAACCCCTCCACTTAGAAAGCCTTTGCCTAGTGGATAGAGCCTCCCCAGGGACAAAGCCTTTTGGAAGCCCCATGTCTGTCACCACAAGATTGTGGGGTCAACAGGAGAGCTTAGCAAGCCCATTTGGAGATGAAGGAATAGGTCCAGAGAAGTCCTATGGGCCCAAGTTGTAGACCCAGTTGGATCAATGACAGAGAGCAAAGACTAAACCAGGTCTCTGGTTTCCAACCCAGCTCTACACAGTTCCACTTTGGGTTCTGGCATTGGGGAGGCCAGTGGCCCCACCCCATAATGGATTTCAGAGGAACTGGAGCAGCTTTGCCTGACAGCTTCTGGAAGAACCCAAGGCAGTGGGTTGGAGGCATTTCTGGTCTCTGGGCATCCAGTCCTTGGCCTTGCTTGTCTTCCCATCTGACTGTTGTACCTGGCCTTCCCGCATTCTGTTTATTCACACACACACACACACACCCTGCAGGGCTTTCATTTAATTTTTACATGAACCAATTCACCTGTGACGTGGGGACAAGAGCAAAAGCACTTCTTTCATCCCGAGTGATGAGGATCATGGGAGAGCAAATCATTCTGAAGCACAATGGCTTTTCACTCTAGCCTACTCCAGGCAGGAGCGCTGGGGCCGCATTCAGCCTGGAGAACACGCCAGGAGCCCCCGCAGCGCTTGCTTTTGCCCGACTTCTCTAATAGCTCTCGCCCTTTCTTCTCCACTGCGTATCCGCCTCCACCACCACCCCTCCCCCCACAATCCCACACATAGCCCTCTGAGCATCTCTTAGGTGAGGGTGAAGGAGGGGCGGGACTTGAGTTGTTTTTCCAAGAGAAGGAACCATGCGTTTTAAGGTTAATCGGGTTTTTGACGCAGAGTTTGGTGTGACAGGCATCGGGGCCGGACGTGGTGGGTAGGTGGGAGAACCGCCGCCCCCCCCCCGCCCCCCATCCCTCCCTGGTCAGCCGGGAACCGGTCTGGAGGCAGAGCGCTGGTGCCTGGGGCGCGGAGCTGAGCCGAAGGTTGGGGCTGGGGAGGAGCTCTCCGAGGTGCTGAAGGCGCCCGGCGCTCGGCCGCGGCCCTCCATCCAGGTCGGTTCCCAGAGACCTCGAGAGACCGGCGGCCCTCCCCTTGGGGTCTCGCTCTGGGCTTCGCTCAAGTGACCTTGGGCTTTCCCTCCCAGGAACCGGTGAACTCGACCTTCAGGCCTCGGCTGGATGGGTTGCGTATCGTATCCCATCCCATCCCGGGGCTGAGAGAGGGTGCTCACCCCTTCCCGGCCCGAAGTGCGGGGGCCGAGCGATGGGGGTGCGGGGCGGGCAGGGGTTGTGTGCGAGGAGCGAGCTCCTCTCTCCCGGCGGGCCGCCGCCGCCGCTCTTCTCCCGCAGCTACTTCCCCAGCCCCGACGGCGCCCTCTGCTCCCGCTGCCGGCGGCCTGCGCGCAGCCGCGGGGTTGGACACCTCCGGCCCTCGGCTCTGCCTCGACGGAGCCGCGGCAGCAGAGCCGACCCTACCCACTCATCCACCTCCTATTGGGGCCGAACTGCGCGCGGGGCGACGTAGGGAGTGAGGTCCCAGCTGGGCGCCAGGCAGCCTCCTAGTCCCGGTGCCCGGTCCGAGCGGAAGGGGAGGGGGGTGGAGGGTAGCGCAGCCAGACGGGGCTGCCAGCGCTCTCCCCCAGCCCGCGAGGGGGCGCCGCATCCCCATGACAACGCGGACACCCCACCCCCCCAGCCTCTCCGAGGGCCGGGCCCCCAAGCTCAGCCGCCCTGTCGGCGTGGGTGGCGGTGTCCCCGCGGTGCCCGAGCGGGGAGCTGCCGGCCGGCTCCAAGGAGGGGCGCGCGTCGCCGGGGTCCCAGACGCCCCGGCGGACGGAGCCCCCCGCGCGTCCCCGTTGGGCGGCCGGCCCCGGGCGGGCGGCGCGGCCCCTCCAGGATTGGCTGCCTCCCCGTGACATCACGCGGCTCGGGGAAAGTGCGAGCGTGAGCGCGAGTCGGAGCCACAGCGCCGGGAGCTGCGGGCGGAGCAGGGGCCGCCCCTCGCACCCCGTCCCCGCCCCCGGCCCGCAGCCCGGCCGCCCGGCTGCCCGCCCCGCCCGCTGGCCCGCGGGCCGCCCTCCCGTCCCGCCGTCTGTCAGGTGCGAAGGGAGAGGGCGGAGGTGTCTGGTAAGTGACTTCCGCGGCGGCGCGGGGGCGCGGGGGGGACTCGGCTGGGGGAGAAGGACGCGGGGCTCGCGGACCCTCCGAAGCTCCTCAGAGGCAGGTCCGACTGGGACCGGGGGACCCCAGGCTTCTTTGGGGCGAGCGCGGGGCGGGGGGCTGCAGAGGGCACCGCTGGAAGGGAGGCCGGGAACCGCTCCGAGGCTGCAGATGCGCCTCTGGGAGGCGATGGGCATTCAGGATGTGGACAGGGTGTGCCTGCCGCCAGCAGCCCCGAGGAGGCTGGGGCAGCCGTCGGGGGCGGGACCCGCGCTCCAGCCCTCCCACGGGCGGCTCTGCAGGGCGTGGGGCTCCAAAACCCCAAAGAGCCCTTTTCCCGCCCGTCTCCCCGCCCCCACCCCCCGCGCCGCCAGCCCCCTCTTGGCCATGGAGTCCTCCATCGGCGACCTTGAACCCCGACGGAAAGCACCTCTGCCCTCTCTGGCGCCTCCCCGCAACCCCCAATCCAGGACTCTCCCTCGCTGTTGCCCATGCCAGGACTCCTCGGCTGAAGTGTCAGGCACAGTGTCGGGATCAAATCCCCCGCGTCCCTTCTCTCTCCCCTGCATTCCCGAGCCCCCCCAGGGACAGATCCAAGGGCCCCAGCGTTCCCGGAGCCCCAGCGTGAAAGCCTAAGAACCCCTCCCCATGCCCAAGGGGTCCGGAGCAGGCGCTCCCGTTTGGCCGGGAAAGGGGATGGGGAGCTCGAGGGCCCGTGCCCACGTCCAGAGGCTCCGGAGCTGCGTGCTCAGGGGTGGGGGAGGGCGGGCCCTGGAGAGACGGGGCCCCTGGACCACCAGGCACCGTGGAGGAGCTCCAGATGGGCCTCCTCAAGTCCCAGCCTGGCCCTAGCGGCCCGCCCAGTCCCCGGGTTTGAGAAACGGGGTGTCCAATCCAGACGCGAGGGCTCACCGTGCTGCTTCCCCAGCGGGGGCCAGGGTGAGGCGTGTGGGAGACGAATCCTGCACTTTCCTACCCCAAGCCCCGCGCCTGGGCCTCCGGTGACAGAGGCGCCGCCTGCACCCTCTCCCCGGCGCCGCCCGTTGGCGGTAACCCGGAGCGGGCACCCTCAGCCCAGCCTGGTGTCCCGCAGGCCGAGCAGGGGGACTCCAGCAGCGGCCCCTCGACAGAAGCCGGTGCAGAAGGCTGGGATTCGGCACCGAAGCGGTGGGGGGCACAAGACCACTGTGCACGCAGCTAACTGGTTTGCAAAGGAGATGTAGGAAGGTGAGGTGGTGTGTGGAGGTCAGGGGACCAGTTGCCACCCAGAGTGTAGCCTGGGCCTTGTCCTGCCCCAGCCCTTCCCCGGCCACAGAAGCCGGCTCTCGGCTCGCCTGGATGGGCGCTCAGACAGACAACGCCTGCGTGGCATCTCCTCCCGGCAGAGGCGTCTGGAGTGTGGCGGCCACTCACTGCCAGCCCCGCATGTATCCGTGCAGACACGCTCGCAGGCGCGGGCACACCCGAACGGTGTGCAGCCCCCAGGCCCCAGCAGACCAGGCACACACACACACACACAGGCGTGCACATGCACGTGTCCACACGGCACGGCATGCTCGCCCGCACACGGGGCGCACTGGTACCCGGGCGTGGCTGAGCGGCGAGCACACACACACACACACACACACACACACACACACACACACGCAGACAGCTACTCGCTCCTTTCCGCTCGCGCTCCCCAGTCATCACACACAGAACTCGAACTCGCCTTCCCGCCCACACGTTCCTCGCCGGTGCCGGGTGGAATTCGGCCGCCCTTAACTTTCCCCTCATTGAACCCCGCGCGGAGGAGCCGAGGGCAGCTCCGGGGCGAGGCCTGGCGAGGGGATCCCGGCCTGGGGCCTCCTCGGTGTTCGTGGTCTTGGTGGAGTTGGGGGCGTTGACCGAGAGCGACTCCCCGCCCGAGGGCCGGAGCTGCTGGCGCCCAGGGGCCGACATCGCCATCTAGCGGTGCGTACAGCCCTGGGCGGGGCTGCTGGCCTCGCCGGATGCCAGGCGTCCGAGAAAGGAGGGAGAGTTTCGGTCAGGAAATCTGCGGAGGACTCTGAGGGGTTCAGAAAGACAGGTGGGTGGGCCGGCTGCCTTTCGCCCCGTCTGCATCTGGAAGCTCCCCCAAGCGGGCCCAGAGCGGGACTAAACCGCCCGCCACCTCCTGGAGACAAGATGTCCTCAAATGGAGAGGAGAGATCTCTCTGGGAAAGCTCAGTGAGGGGAGGCGGAGGGAATGGGCCACCCCACTCCTATTTGTGTGGTTGTAAAGGGGAGAGAGCAGAGGCAGGAAATGAACTCTGAGGCAGAATTTAGGATCGGGAACGTGGCTCCTGGGTTCTCATCCTGCCCCCGTGCCTGCTTACACACTGGCTGATTTTAGGCAACTTAATTAACGTGATCATCACCTGTGAGAAGACACATCTGTAAGATGAGGGAGACTACTATCGCCTGCCTTTTCAGGCTGCTGTGAGGATTACACCAGATAATCTATATTAAAAGCTCAGAGGGATTCCCGACTCACTGTTAACACGTAATAAACAAGAGGGATTATGTTTTTCCTGAGTGGCACCTTGGGTCCCGTTCTGATCTCGCTGGGCTCGCTGGGCTGTGTCCTGGTCCTGAGAGGCTAGCACCACCGTGCTCTTGGGGCTGGCTGACAGACCACTCCTGCCCACTTTGCTTGCCTGCGTGTGCCTGGGAGGGCAGCCTCCCCACGCGGGTGCTTCAGCCCTCCCAGCTCAGAGGGTGACGCCTGAGCCATTATTTCAGTCCCGCCCAGGGTTGTACGCACCACCGCTAGATTCTCTCAGAGCTGAAAGGGGCCCTCGGACCCTGGGGAGGAGGCGTTATCTCGATTCATTTGTGACCTTGAGGGGGGGGGGGGACACACACACCATCCATCGCTGAGCCTCTCCCTCCAGAGGACCAAGGATCTGGCACATTTAAACTGCCAGGCCGGGAGGCTGGGTCTGTTGTCTGCGATGGTGGATCAGGGGGGCTTGAGGCCGGGCAGGGGGGGTCACTGGGATGCGGCTCCAGCCTCCAGTGCATTTTCAGGCTGGAGATGGAGTTTAGTTGCTGATCCCCATGGCGGCCCAGGTGGGAGGCTGTCCTGAGGAATCCTCTCTGGTTTGCAAAGGAGAGAGGTGCAGGAAGGTGAGGTGGCGTGTCTAGGGCCACACAGTCCCAGCTGGCGTTGAAGCCGGGCTGCAGCGAGAGTGCTGGTCCCTTCCTCCCTCCTCCCTCCACACCCTCGGCCTCTCCCCCTCTCACACAGACGCACGCACGGAGCTGCGTAGATGACAGTGACTGGGGGTGCTGAGATGGGCCCGGGCGTGTGTGTGTGTGTGTAACGGTGCGTGCGTCGGCGGGTGTGAAGGAGCTGGGCAGAGCGGCTGCCCTGGCTCTGTGCACAGGGTGTGGGCCTCCAGCACGAGTTCGGGAGAGGAAGGGGGGCAGGGGCGGTCCAGAGGAGCCTGGGTGGGAGGGAGCGCAGGCTTAGGGCTGGGGCCTTATCCTGAGGGACCCTAACTGGCCGACTGGGACCAGGGCTGCCCTGAGGGGCAGGCCCTAGGCCCCTCCCTCCCCCCTGCGGCAGTCCCTCTCTTCCCTCTGGGACACTGTCACCCCTTGGGGCTGACTGTGAGCCCTGGGAAGCCAGGTGTGTCTTCCCTCAGTGATGGCCCTTTGGGCTTCTGATGGCTCCAGGGTCTCAGCCCTTGGTTGCTGACAGATTCAAACTACCTGGCACCTCACCCCCATGCCTGAGGGCAGGATGAAAGGTCTGGGAGGGGAATGTGCTACCCTGAGCCTCTGCGCACAGCACCATCCCCTCATCCTCAAGGCGCCTCTGGGAGGCCTTGCCCCAGCTGGGATCGCGGGGACTCTCTGGGCCTCCCTCAGCCAGAACTCGTAGCTCTGGGACAGCAGCGTGATGTCAGGAGCTGTGGCACCTGGTCAGGTTAACACCTGGGTGTCCTCGTCTATAAGCAGCGGAAAATGGCAGTATTACCGCATAGGTTTGTGTCAGAATGAAACGAGTTAATACTGATAAAAAGTACTGAGAGTGTCTGGCATGTAGCGGAGGGTAAATGTTAGCTGCTAAGGGATTGGAGAGCGGGTCCCTGGTAGTTTGCTTAAGAAACGATCAAGAGGCTGCCCTGGCCGAAACCGGTTTGGCTCAGTGGATAGAGCGTCGGGCCTGTCCAGTGAAGGGTCCCAGGTTCGATTCCGGTCAGGGCATGTACCTTGGTTGCGGGTGCATCCCCGGTGGGGGTTGTGCAGGGGGCAGCTGAATGATGTTTCTGACTCTGTCCCTCTCTCTTCCTCTCTGTAAAAAATCAATTAAAACAACAACAACAAAAAACAACGCTGCCCTGGCTGGTGTGGCTCAGTTGGTGAAGGGTAGCCCCCTGCACCAAGAGGTTCCTGCTGCTCAGACCCCAGTAGGCAGTGTGCAGAAGCAGCCAAAGGATGTCACTCTCCCCTCTCCCTCTCCCTCTCTCACTAAAATCAATCAGAACATATATTTAAAAAGAAGAAAATAAATGATCCAAAGGCTGAATGAATATTTCTGACCAGAGCCACATTTGGACTCATCCCTCTGCTCTCTCTTCCTTGGGTCCCACCCACACTGGCCCCCGGTCCTTGCCTCAGGGCCATTGCCCTTGACGAGGCCTCTTTCTGAAGCCCCCGTGGGTGGCTGCCTCCTTGTCATCACCCAGGTCACCTCCTTGGAGAGGAGAGGCCTCACTGCTCAGCCAGCAGGGGACAGCCCTGTCTGTCCCCCACCCACTCTCTGTGCCATCACTCACCCTTGCTTTCTTCCTAGCACTTCTTTGTCGTTGCTCACTGTTTGTCTCTCCTGATCCGATTGTAAACTCCGTGAGAGCGGGGGGGCCGAGGGTGTCTCACGCGCTCTGTAACCGCAGCCCTCAGCGCCCACTCAGTAAATGACGGGCACACGAATGAGGAGGGGACGGGACAGAGTCCCCTCAAGTTCCGCAGGATGAGGTTCCTCTGGCCCCTTGACTCCAGTCACCCCACATTACCCTTCCAATCCGCTTCAACAGCCCACCTTTCCTCTCTCTCTCCTCCCTCCTCCAGACACTGCCGACCAGAATGGCCAACTTCACGCCCGTCGACGGCAGCCCAGGCAACCAGTCTGTGCGCCTGGTCACGGCAGCCCATAGCCGCTACGAGACCGTGGAGGTGGTCTTCATCGTCACGGTGACGGGCTCGCTGAGCCTGGTGACCGTGGTGGGCAACATCCTGGTGATGCTGTCCATCAAGGTCAACAGGCAGCTGCAGACGGTCAACAACTACTTCCTCTTCAGCCTGGCGTGCGCCGACCTCATCATTGGCGCATTCTCCATGAACCTCTACACCGTGTACATCATCAAGGGCTACTGGCCGCTGGGCGCCGTGGTCTGCGACCTGTGGCTGGCCCTGGACTACGTGGTGAGCAACGCCTCGGTCATGAACCTGCTCATCATCAGCTTCGACCGCTACTTCTGCGTCACCAAGCCCCTCACCTACCCGGCCCGGCGCACCACCAAGATGGCCGGCCTCATGATCGCCGCCGCCTGGGTCCTGTCCTTCGTGCTCTGGGCGCCCGCCATCCTGTTCTGGCAGTTTGTGGTGGGCGAGCGGACGGTGCCGGACAACGAGTGCTCCATCCAGTTCCTGTCCAACCCGGCGGTGACCTTCGGCACGGCCATCGCCGCCTTCTACCTGCCCGTGGTCATCATGACGGTGCTGTACATCCACATCTCCCTGGCCAGCCGCAGCCGCGTGCACAAGCACCGGCCGGAGGGCCCCAAGGAGAAGAAGGCCAAGCCCCTGGCCTTCCTCAAGAGCCCCCTGATGAAGCAGAGCGTCAAGAAGGCGCCCCCGCAGGCCGCCCGGGAGGAGCTGCGCAATGGGAAGCTGGAGGAGGCGCCCCCGCCCGCCCTGCCGCCCCCGCCGCGCCCGCCGGCCGACAAGGACACGTCCAACGAGTCCAGCTCGGGCAGCGCCACCCACAACGCCAAGGAGCGGCCGCCCACGGAGCTGTCCACCACGGAGGTCACCACCGCCCCCGCCACGCCCACCCCTCGCCTGCAGCCCCGGGCCCTCAACCCCGCCTCCAAATGGTCCAAGATCCAGATCGTGACGAAGCAGACGGGCAACGAGTGCGTGACGGCCATCGAGATCGTGCCGGCCACGCCGGCGGGCATGCGCCCGGCGGCCAACGTGGCCCGCAAGTTCGCCAGCATCGCCCGCAACCAGGTGCGCAAGAAGCGGCAGATGGCGGCCCGGGAGCGCAAGGTGACGCGCACCATCTTCGCCATCCTGCTGGCCTTCATCCTCACCTGGACGCCCTACAACGTCATGGTCCTGGTGAACACCTTCTGCCAAAAGTGCGTCCCCGAGACGGCGTGGTCCATCGGCTACTGGCTCTGCTACGTCAACAGCACCATCAACCCCGCCTGCTACGCCCTCTGCAACGCCACCTTCAAAAAGACCTTCCGGCACCTGCTGCTGTGCCAGTATCGGAACATCGGCACTGCCAGGTAGACAGGCAGGGGCGTCGGAGGTGGTCCTGGTGGTCGCATGTGTGTGCTGTGGGACCATGTGGCTCCACTGTATGGGGGCAAGGTGTGGAGGCACCTCTTGTGTCCATGGTCGCTGAAGAGGACTGAGGTCCCAGGCCCTGTGAGGCTCAGGAGGAAGCTCTGGCTGGATTCAGGGACCAGCTCTTTGCTCAGAGGGTCAGCCTAGGAAGGGTCTGAACCAGGACTGCCTGACTCATCTCTCTTGTCCGCCTCAGGGAGCTGGGGGCACCGGCCTTCGGAGACACTGGCCTACGGGGACCCTGGCCTTCGGGGGCACCAGCCTACGGGGACCCTGGCCTTCGGGGGCACCGGCCTACGGGGAAACTGGCCTTCAGGGACACTGGCCCTATGACTAACCAGCGGGGTTGGAAGAATGGACATCTGGAGGGGAGCAGAAGCCAGGACCCCCTTGGGAGAAGCAGAGGTCAATGCTTAGTAAAGGAGGGAACTGAGGAGGAGAGTAGGGTTCCCCATTCTGTTGTAACCGGTGCTTTCTGCCCCCCTGCACCCTGCATGAAGGCTCAGCCCCCTCTCCCAGACCCCACTCCTTGCTGCAGCTACTCGGCCAGGTCCTGGTTTGGTGGGCGGGCTGGCTGGAGGCCAGGCAGAGTGGGCTCTGGGGCACCCGCCTTCTTCAGCCCAGGCCCGGCCAGTCAGTCAGGATGGGCCAGCAGGTCCTCCATTCACACTCAGGAGCGAGGCCTGGCCTCCGAGGGTCCCAGCCTGAGCGGGGAACAGCCCACTGATTCTGAAGAGCCCTCCCCTCCCAAGCAGGTCACACAGAGTGAAGGAGGGGCTGTGACCTAGTGGGGGTGGGGCTGTGGCGTTCCCTTGGCCTCTGCAGAGTGACGGAGGCCTCGGTCACCAGACAGAGATGGACTTTACCCACCGATTTCAGTGCCAGTGAAGGTGGCAAGCAACCCTTATCTTTACAGATAGAAACTTCCGGATTGGCAGTGGCTGGACCCAAGGACCTTTGCCTGGGAGTGTCAGCCTAGTCTTGTGGGTTCCTGCTCCAGCTGTGGCGTGGCCCCGGACAAGGACGGAAAGGCTCAGAGGCCTCGATGGGGGTGCCCTTTCACAGGGCAGAGAGGGGCCGTGGAATAAATGTCAAAACTGGTCTTTTTCTATGAGCTCCGGGGAGCACCGAGCCCCCAGGAAAGCCAGCTTTCCCTCCACACTCTCCCTTCCCAACAGATCACCACAGCAAAATCCCCAGGAAGGGGCTTTTATATATTAAAAAAGAAAAGCTTTTATTGGGAGAAAATGAGTTTTATTTGTTTTTAGGTTTTTTTTTTTTGTTTTTTTTTTTAGCAATGGCATCATTGTGGGTAAGAAAATAGGGGAATGGGAATCAAACTCTCCCTTTGGAGGAGGCTCAAGATGCCAGAATCCCTTGTCCCTTTCCACTCTGGGCACTTGGGGGGAGGGGGAGAGGAAAGGGCATGATTGATAAAGCTGAAGAGTCACAAAAGGCACTGGTGGGTTCCTCTGGGGCCGGGGGAGAGGGAGGACGGGGGCCAGGCCTCTAGTCCTTTCCCTTCCCTTTCTTGGCTGTAAAACAAGAAAAGAAATGCTCGTTAGGAGAATTCAGGTGATGCCTCTGCTCCTCAGGGAGAAGGAAACTCTGCCCCCTAGTGGTGCTCCATCAGGGGACCTGAAAGCCGGTGGGACAGGGCAGCCATTACGCTGCGGGCCCTTCCCCACTCTCCCAGCTGGAACTTTCCCTGGGGGTCAGATCCTCCAGTTCCCAGTCCGCAACCCTGGGCAACAGCCTCCCCGCCTAGCCTGAGGGAGGGCCTCTGGGCTGCGGGGACTCAGGGATGCCATGAGGACAGAGAAGCCCTCCAAGCTAGGAAGGGCACGCTGACCAGGGGCTCCCCGGGCTGGACAGGGGAACAAAGCCCAGCCCTTCTAGCGTTTGCCCTGGACTCTAAGCAGATGCTCTCAGAGCAGCCAGACTGTCCTGCCGGAGCCAGAAGGATCTCCTGCCACCTGGGCACCGGCCGGTGGACCTCAGTACATATCCCCCCCCCCCCCATTTCCCCCTAAGATGTCCCTACAGACGGGCTCACTCACCAGGGCCCCCAACCTCAGGCTTAACCATTCCCCTCACAGGTGGGGGCAGAGTCCCCCCACCCCCCGCCCCTGCCCCCTCTCCCGGCTGCTGACCTTTGGCTTTGGCTTTGGTCTTGGGGGTGCAGGGCTTGGTTACGCGGATGGTCTCCTGGCACTGGGCATTGTACCGCGCCTTCTTCAGGGTGCCCTGGCGGGCTTTGGTGCCCGAGCTGCCATCACACGCCCCCCAGCTCTCGAACTTGTACTTGCAGTCGGCTGGCAGGAGAGGGGGGGCCCAGGGTCAGAGCCGGGCTGTCCGGGCTTCGGGGAGCCTGTGCCCCCCCCCCCGTCCCTGCCCCTCCCGCCGGGCCCCCCCTCACCTCCGAACTCCTTCTTCCAGTTGCACGGCACCCGGCACCGCAGGCGCTGGGTCTGGGCGCCGCAGGTCCCTTCGCGGAAGCCCGCGCCGCAGTCCTTGCTGCTCGGGACGCAGGGCCCCCAGGTCCACTCGGCGCACTCGCCGCCCGGGCCGCCCTTCTTCACTTTGTCTGCGGCGCACGGGGAACGGGGCTCAGCACCCGGGGCTCCCCCTCCTGCCAGGGCTCCCGGCCTCCCCTGCCCGCCCCCAGGCCCCCCTCCACCCTTCCACCCCCAGACCTCCCACCACCTTTCTTTTTGGCCGCCGCCGAGGTGAGCGCCAGCAGCAGGGTGAGGAGGGCGAGGAGGAGGAGGAAGCCTCGGTGCTGCATCCTGGGGGAGAGGGTCCGAGTCACGCGCCCGCCCCCTGCCCCACGGAGCCCCGCACGGACCGCCCCGCAGCCTTTCCTCCCTCCGAGGCCCAGGGGCTCCGGCTGCTCATGTGGCGGCGGGCGGACTCGAGGGCCCGGTTCCCCGAGGGCGCACAGCCGGGAGGCGCCCCCCAGGACGCGGCTCGGACCCCCCCGATCCCCCGGCCCCCGGCGGACCGCGGCCGCCCCGGCCCCACGCTCACTCGCTCGCTGCCCGCGACGCTGCGCTCCCTCCAGCGCTGGCCCGTCCCGCTCCGGCCGCTGCGGCCCCTTTTGTCTCCAGAACCGGTCTGAGCCGGTCACATGGGCCCCCGCCCCCTCCCCCGTCTCCCCCCACCACGGAGGAAGGGCCCGCCCCCTCCCCACAAACCCGCACCGCCCCCCGCCCCCGCCCGCCCGCCCGACCCCGGCGTCCCCGCCCCCCGCCCCGCGCCGCGCTCCCGGCGCCTCCGCCCGGGCTGCGCGCCGCCCGTCCAGCATCCGCGCTTCGCCCCGACGGTGCCCTCCGCCCGCAGAGGCCTGGCTCTCCGGCCCCTACCTCCCTCCTCCCCCCACTTTCTGAGCCCAGGGTCCCCGGACCCCGAGCCTTCGTGTGGCCCGGGGACCCCCAGTCCCGGGCCCCAGCTTTCTCTCCCCGCCCTCTGCCCCCTCCCAGGGGCCGCCCCCACTTCCCTGAGGACGCCGGCCTCCCCGCCCGGCCTTCGGGGAGGCGCGCCCGGGGACCCGGTGCATCTCCGGCTCGCGTCCCGGCTCCCGTGGCTCCGTCCCCGGCGCCTTGTTTAACCCCATCGGGGTCCCGCTCCGCTCCCCGGGGCCTGCTCGGCCCCAGGCCCCCCATTGCTGCTGGGAAGGAGGGCCGCCCCCAGATGCTTCGCCTCCGGTGCAGGGAGGCGCTCCGCTCCGCTGGGAGCCGGGGACGGGGACCCCGGAGGAGGCACAGGGCTGAGGGGTTGGCGCTGCGCCTTTCCCGGAGCCCAGGTTTGGGTGTGGGGGAGCCGGAGGAGGAACCCGCGGGCCTGGGGTGGGGAAGACTTGGGAGCTGACAAGTTCTGAGAAGTTCCAGACCTGGCTCCGGCAGCAGCAGCACAGGCCCACCCTGGGGGCTGGGGATCACCTCACCCGAACCCCCCTAAACAGCGAAAGCTGAGGCCTGGGGGAGGGGGCTTGCCCGAGGCCACAGGGCAAACAGACCTAAGAATCCAATCCGGCCCCGGCCCCCCTTCTTTCACTTTCATTGTTATCGTCCCGGCGGGAAGCGGGAAGGGGAGGAACTCGGCTCCTCCCTCCGCCCCACCGAGCTAGGCAGCCGGGCAGAGGTCAGGTCCGGGGCAGACTCTTGGGCCCCACCCCCTGAGGAGACCCAGAGAAGGGTCTGGGCTCACAGTGTCCAGTCCCCCCACTCTGAGGATACCCCAGCAGACGCCGCTGCTTCTGTCATATCCCGAAAGAAAAGAAATGCAGAAAGGAAAAAAAAAAATCTCTTTACTGAGTCACACCCAGCTGTAAACAAGTCACCAGGAGAGCCCCACCCCAACCCCCAGGCCACAGTCCTCGAGGAAATACTGGGGAAGGTCAGTGGGGTAGGTGCCAAGCAGGGCAGCGGGCAGGCGATTGCAGCAGGCTCCAGGTTGGTAGGAAGATGGGGTCAGAGCAGGAGTGGGGATGGGGCTCCCAGGAGCCTCGGAGCAGGGCCCTTAAGGACCAGGTGGCTCGGAAGGCTTCCTCATAGAGCTTCCAGCCCCTCTGCCCCTCCCAAACACCAAGGAGGCACCCACTGGTGGCCCAGCCCCAGCTCCCCATCGGCCTGCCCAGTCCAGTCCAGTCTCCTACTCCCCCGGGGAGGGGGCCTCCAGGTCAGGCCGGGGCTCGGGGGGGGGTAGGTGAGATGCTGTCGCTCCTCAGAATCCAGCCCTCGTTAGGGCGGCTCCTCGGGGGGCAGCAGAGGCTCCTTCCCAGGGCCTGGGTCCCCCTGGCTGTCCGACTGGAATGTGGCAGTGAGGAGGGGGCTGGTGCGCCGGCCGGTGCTGTCTCTCCTCGGCACTGGCCCAGCTACACAGCCGTCTCCTGGTCCTCCCGCTGAATCATCTGGTAGTGCTGCCGGTTCTCCAGGTAGGCGGCCAGCTCCGTGTCCTGAGCCTTCTCTGCCCGCTGCCGGGGAGTGTCGCCCTGGAGGAGGGAGGAGCCGGGACCAGGCTGAGGGGAGGGCAGGTGCTGTGGGCAGGGGGAGGGAGGCTGGGCCGGCTGGGCCAGCTCCACCCCAGCGGGCTCAGGTTTCTTAAGGCATCCCCAGAGGTGGCTGGCCCTCCCCCAGGCTTCCCTCTCACAAGGGCCCAAGTCTGGGAGAGCGTTGGTTGGGGCCTCCGTGGACTCCTTGCCCATCCTGTGGATCTGCTCACCTGCTGGTCTGTCTTCATGAGCGAGGCCCCTGCTTCCACGATGTAGTGGCAGATGGTGCGCTGGCCCAGGGCCGCTGCCTGGTGCAGACAGGTCTCCCCGCTGGGGAACAGGGGCTGGCTGTGGACCCCATCCGGTCCTCTAAGCCCTCCCATCTGTCTCCCGAGGGCCACCAGAAAGGGCAGGAAGTTTGGGGCCCTAGGATAAGGGGGTGTGGCCTAGAGGAGGACAGATTGGCCGGAAAGGGTTTATGGGTGCCCACAGACCAAACAGGAGGGGTTGAAGATGGCAGTTTCCAGGGTAACCAGGGTCCTGCACTGCCGGATACTCACTTTTCCTCTACAGCATCAAGGATCTCCTGGGGGGCTGGTGGAGAGGGGAGGGACAGGTCAGAGGCCTGGCGGCCTCTCTTCCCTTCCGGGGCCCAGCCCAGGGGCCCCCGTGGCACAGCTTACCGTGGTCCAGCAGGTAGCGGACCACTTCCTTGCTGCCAGTGCTGACTGCGTGGTGCAGGAGCGTGCGACTCTGACCATCTCGGTGCATGAGGTCCCCCCCAGCTCGGTGCAGCTCCTGGAGCTGAGGGCGGGAGGCAGAGCGGGGCTGGGGCTCCTCTGGCCCAGCCTTTCCAGCCACAGAAATGCCCCCCAACTCACAGGCTACAGGCTTGGCACTAGCGTGCTCACACACATCCCTCCCTAGGGGAGGTCTTTCCGGAGTGTCAGGGCTTATCTCACCCCGAGGACCCAGGCCCTGGAGCCTGCGGTTCCTCTAAGACCCGCTCCTTTCTGAGCATTGGGGACAGGCTGACTGAGCTGGGAAGCCCCTAGGAAGGGACACAGATTGTGGCTGGACAGGGGCCAGGCGGAATGGGACAATCACCACAGAGACCCTGCTGAGGGCAAGACGACGACAAACTGTGCCTGGACAGGCCAGCTCTCGGCCCACCCAGAGGCACCGCTCCCCAGTGCTGGAGGGGGCTGCCGAGGAGAAGACATGGAGCCAGGGCGCTAGTACCTTACAGAAGTCGTTCCTCTTGGCAGCCTCAACCAGCTCTTCACCTGCAGGAACACCTGCCTGTTACACGCCAGGGCCGGAGGCCTGGGCTGTGTTGGTGGGTGAATGTACACATGGGGCTGCTGGGCACGTGTCCCGGGGGCTGGGCTCATGGTGAATGTGACCACGTGTACCTCAGCAGGTGTGTCTGCGTAAGGCTGTGTGTGGGGCCCACCTCCCCACCACCTCATGCTGATGACCAGGGAGAAGCCTCACCTTTAGGGGGGGCAGCATCCCCTGGCAGTGACCTACGAACAGAGTGGGGTGAGACATGACCCAGCTACAGCACAGGCCGGCCCGTCACCTTCCCAGCCCCAAGCAGGGGCGCCCTTCATTCTTTCAATGGTTTATTGAGTGCCTCCTACATGCCACGTGCTGCCCTAGGCACTGCAGATACCACAGTGACCACGGCACACGGAGACTGGCTCTCAGGGAGCTTACATTCTAGCCGGGGAGACAAACAAGTAGATAAATAAATAAAGTCTTTTGAGAGCAGGAAGTGCTATGAAGAACACAGGACAGGGTAGTGTGATTGAACGGCAGCGTCAGATGAGGTTCCCAGGAAGACTCCGCTGGGGAGGAAACACCAGGTGTAGGTGAAGAACAGGAAGTGTCTGAGGCAGCAAAGGCAAGTGCGGAGGCGGGCAAACTTGAGCCTCAGAGAACCGAGGCAAGTGGGGCCGGCCTGCGGCCTGCGGTGATGGGAAGGAGGGGGCAGGCAGAGGCCGTGTGCCCTGAAATGCCCACTGGGTACTGAGGTTCTAGGCTGGGGAGCAGGAGCGCCGGAGGCAGGGGCACCGTGGCTTAGATGGGGGTGTGATCAGATGTGGGGGAGAGCTGACAGGACGCTGAGGGTCATACGGGCTGGGAGGAAGGATGGGGTCACAAAGGCAGCTAGCTGAGTGCGAGGCCTGCACCCAGGGAAGTGGCTGGGGCTGAAGGCAGAGCTTTGGGAACGGCTGGATTACAGGTGGGACTTAAACCAGGGACTGGGGGAGCCCGGGACTCACTGGGGTGTGGGTGAGCAGGGGGAGGTGGGGAGAGGAGAAGTGGGGGTTTGGAGGTCAGGCCGGGCCGATGCCCCCAGCAGCTCTGGGTCCAGGATATAAATCTCGTCCTGGGCGATCTCAGTCACATAGTTGAGGTGTTCCTGTGGGTAGTGAGGCAAGGACTGAGGGTCAGGGCGCAGGGTCACGGCCTTCCAGGGCAGCCAATGGTGGGTGCAGGGGCTGCAGGCTAGCGGAACTTGAAGAAGCCTCTGCTCTGGGCGTGAACACTGGCAAGAGGCAGGCAGGCGAGTGGCCTGCTCCCCTCTGCCCCTCGCCTCTCCATTCCCCCCTCCCCTTTCCCATCCCCACACCCAGGCACTGACCTCTGTGTCCTGGGCCTACCAGCCCCTTCCACTGAGAAACCTTTTTCCAGGCAACCTGACCCCTGGCCAGATGTGCTTTTCCTTTGTCTTCCTGGATGGCACCTGCACTCTGAGGCCCTCCCACCCACCCGGCAAGCCTTTTCTGGGTACACCGGCCCCCTTTCCCTGTTGGCACCGTCCCTGTGCACCCTATTCTGGAGGCAGGGCCGTGCCTGTCCATGGACATGGGCGACTGAGTGCTATGGAACATGAAGACGCTGCAGGCGCTCACCTGGGCTCGGTCGATCCTGTAGAAGCGGCTGGCAGTGGTGGCTGTGGGAGACAGGGAGCTGGCTGAGGACACAGGGTCCCTTGTCCAGGCCCAGGCCTTCTGCTGCCCCGACCCAGGACCCCCAGGGAGGAGGCAGGGCGTGGACTGGGGCTGCCAGGAGCCAGCCCTCCGGGGCCACTTACCGTCCAGGAAGCACCACTTGGCGGACAGTTTTTGGCACGCCGGGGACATGGCTCCAGCACCTTCCGGCTCCTGTGAGAAGGAAGGCGGGGGCTGGGTGAGGACAGACCCCGGGGCGGGAGGGAACAGCGCAGGGCAGGCGCGGCCGCCGCGGCCTCACCTGCTGGAGCCTCTCGATGTGGGCGCGGCAGAGCTCTAGGTCACTGTCTCCTGGGACCACCACGGTGCCCAGCGGCACGGCTGGAAGACGGAGCAGGCGGTGAGCAGCCGGCTACATCCCACGGCCCGGCCCTTCGGGGACTCAGTGGCTCTTCAGCCGCCCCTCCCCCGCCCCACCCCACGAGCCCCGCAAGCCGCTCACAGGCCTCCTTGAGCTGCTCCTTGTCGTAATGCAGGGCGTCGTAGTCGTGCATGCTGACCCTGCTCACTTGGATCCGTAGCTGCTCGGGCACCGGCTGCTGGCTGAGGGCGGGGCAATAAGAGGGGACTTGGCGAGGGCCCTGTCCAGGAACCCAGCCAAGGGTCTCCTCCCAACTGCCCTGGGGCAGAGGGACTGTTAGCCACTTTCCAGCTGGGGAAGTCGAGGCTCAGCGAAGGGCAGGCTGGCCGTGGGCCCGGGGCACGGAGGCCGTGAGGGGACGTACTCGCTGTGCAGGGGCGTGGCGCTGCGCCGCTTGGCCTTCTGCACCATGGTGGCCTGGTTGCGCAGGGCGATGCGAATGCGCGAGGCGGTGAGCTTGCAGGGCTCGCCGTCCACCTGCACCGGGATGGCCTTGGACGTGGTGAGCACCACCTCCCGGCACTGCGTCAGCCGCTCGCCGTGCCCGCCCACCTGCAGCGCTGCCTGTGGGCGCAGAGGGCTCAGGTCAGGGGCCGGGGCAGCATGATGGGGTCCCCGGCTCTGCTCCTTCCAGGGGAGGCTCTGGCCAGAGAGCTAACAGGAAGTGACCCCAACAGGGAGTGGAGGGAGGGTGAGACCCCAGTAGAGAGGGGCGGTAAGGGCAAGAGCCAGTCAGAGGCGATGAGGCGATTGTCCAGCCAGAGGGGATGGATGTGTCCCGCAGACACAGAGAGGCTGACAGATACTCTCAGTCAGAGAGAGGAGGAGACAGAGAAGGGAAGTTTGGTGACACCCCCTTCCATCTTGGAGCCGTGCTGGGCACTGCACAAAGCAGAAAGGGGGCTCCAGGCAGGCCCGTGCCGGCCCACTCACCAGGGACGTCATGGTGAAGCCGATGACCTCGAGGTAGCCGTCATCATGCCGCTGGGGCTCGAAGTCGTGGTGCTCCCCAGGGTGGCCCCAGGGCATGGTGCCTGCGCAGTACCTGGAGGGAGGGAGCACGAGGGCTCAGAGGACAGTCCTGCAGGACGGAGACAGCAGGGCCCACAGAGCCTGCCCTCCTCACCTGGGGATGTTCAGGAAAACAATGCACTGGGGTTTCAGGTCCTGAATCTTGGGGGTCAGGTCAGTCCCATCACACTGGAGACAGGAACGGGGAGGGTGTTGGGGGTACACGTGCGTGCCAAGCCAGCCTCCCTCCCACCTGGGCCTGTCCACTCTGCCTGCAGCCCGGCCTGCTCACCACCACTCGGATGTGCTTGGCCAAGTCCTTGGAGCTGCCCATCAGGAAGTCGGAGAAGGCTGTCTGTGGGAGACAGTGGCGTCACCATCTGGTGACAGAGACCCTCCCTCACCACCTCTGGCAGGGGCTCTGTGGGGCATGGGAAGGGGGGTGCTGCCGGGCCAGCAGACCCAGACTCACCCCGGCATAGAACATCTTGTTCCGAAAGCGGCTGTTGAATTTCTCTGGGTTGGCCTCTAGGTGGCGACAAGAAATGGGGGAAGTCAGTCATTCTGGGCCTGCTGGGCTTACCGGGCTGAGCGTGGGTGCCTTTTACTGGGGGGGGGAAGTCTCAGACACTCCTGCGCCCCTGCCTCCCCAGCCTCCCGAGGCCACCTCAGCGAGAGACTGCCAACCTCGAGACTCGTGGAACTCCAGGGTGACGTGGGCATCAAAGCCCAGGCTGAAGTAGTTGTTGAAGACGTCCAGAGGCAGCTGAGAAAAGTTCAAGGGACCAGCATGAGGGTCAGGCCTCACAGACACCTCCCTGCTCCAGGCCCAGCCCCAGCCGCAGCCAGGGGCACTGTGCTTGCTCAGCCACACGTTTCAGAGGCCTTTTCTGCAGGTCACAGGGTCCACCAAAACCTCTTCCCCGCCCCCTGCCTGCCTCAGGCTCTGCCCCTTGGCTCCCACAGGTGCCCTGTACACAAGAGCACCCCCGCCCGCTGGCATGCCTCCCTGACTCTCCTTCCCCGTGTGCCATAGTGCGTGGGAGCTCCACAAGGGGAACTTTGTCTTGCTCACTGCTTAGAACGGTGCCAGGCAGGCGGCAGGTACTGAGTAAATATTTGCCAAGTGGCTCAATAATGAACGCTGTGAGGTGAGAACCATTGTTCCCATTGTATAGACGAAGAAGCCGGCATCTGAAGGAACGAAGAGCCTGACCAAAGTCCCAGAACAAGCGAATGGGAATCCCAGACACCCACTGGCCCTGCCTTGGCCTACCCACCCGGTCAGTGGCACCCTCTTCTCGCTCCTCGGGCCCCGCCTCAGGGTTGGGCTCGGCGCGGAGGTCCCAGCGGTCCAGCTGCACCACGTTCCCCTCCTCCACGTGGGAGAGGATCTTGGACACGGGCTCATCTGTGTAGCCCTGGCGGGAGAAGCAGAAGCGGAGCCCTTCCTGAGGACAGGCCTCCCCACCACACAGCCCACCCAGCGGCCCACCTCCCCTGGCTCTCACCCCGCCCCAGTTGAGGGTACGGGCCAAGTCGTTGCCAGTGCCCAGGGGCAGGATGGCAACAGGCGGCGGTGGCTTTAAGCGCAGTTGGTCCAGGGTGGAGAGGATCCAGCCGACCTGGAGGGGGCAGAGCAGAAGAGTCCTGGTCAGGCCAGGGGGGCCCAGGCCCAGGCCCGGGCCCAGCCAGAAGCAGGAGGACTCACCGTGCCGTCACCCCCGCACGCCAGGATCCGCAGGTTGTGCACTTTGCGGTACATCTCCAGCCTGGGGTGTGGAGACAGGAGCGGGTCAGGACTTGTGGGCTAGGCCCTGAGCACCGGGCAAGCCCCCACCACTGTCCCCACAGAGCCTTGGCCAATACTTACGCCTCCTTGGGCCCTCCCTGGCTCAGGTCAAAGACTTGTCGGGGATTGAGATACCAGAGGAAAGACTGGATGATCTTTGCACCCTGTGGGGGACCAGTTGCCAAGAGGGTCAGGGGTGGTGGGCTGAGGTGGGGACAAGCACAGGGAGAAGGCCTGGGAAGCAGGCCCAGTAAGGGGGATGGGGTAGAGAGAGGATTAGATTCCCCCCAGGATCCCTGGGAAAGACGGGGCAGAAGTCTGATACGGAACTTGGAACAGCTGTGGGTTCTGGGGGAAGGGGCAGGAATCTGGACCCCATGCCTCCCCCCAGGCTCTGAGGAGCGGGGAGGCTGTGCATACCTGGTTGCCCCCACTCTTGGGGTTCACAAACACCAGCAGGGGCTTCATGAGGGGGGACGGGGTGGGCCTGATGATGAAGGGTTTCCAGCGGCCCTCCTGGGAAACACAGCCCGTAAGGAAAGGCTCCTTCAAGTCTTGGTGGACCCTTATCCCCACGCTCAGCAGGACCCCTGGCTGCCTCCCACGTACCACCTCTGGGTCAGAACTCTGGTGGGCCTGGCCGCAGAGAGGCAACTCGCAGGTCTGACTTCCCATCCTCTTCAGGGCCCCAGAGTCCAAAATGACCCACCAAAGCCTGAGCCAAAGGCATCTTCCAAGAAACAGGCTCCTCTCTCCCGTTCCCTCCAGCCGCCCGCCTGGCCCCGGGTCTAACCTCGGGACCTTTCTTGCTGGATTTCCGCTTGAAGGACGCCCTCTTTTTCTTCTTGCTTGCCTTGAGGGTGTTCTGTGAGGGAAGCAGGGCATTGGTGACAAGGTGGGTGAGCTGGGGTGGCTGGCAGACCCCAAGGGGTGGGGTGTCAAGGGTGCAGGAAGGACTCACCTGGGGCCTGCGGGCACGGAGGATCCAGGTGGGTGGGATGACCACAGCAGCGTGGACTCCCAGGGAGCACGGCTCCTCGATCTGCTGCAGCATGAAGCAGGACACCTTGCTGTGGTACTAGTGGGGGGGAACAATGTGAGCTGGGCCAAGCTGAGGCCTGGGACCCCAACCCAGCGCAGCACGGGCTGGCCTGCGGGAGCAGGGCGAGCACACTCACCGCTTGCTTGCACCAGGAGCAGCTGATGGCCACAATCTCCTTGCTGTGGAAGGTGAACTTCTGCTGGAAGCCCTAGGGTGGACAGGTGGTTGGGGGCCTGGAGCAGCAGACCCAGGCCCCCTTCTGTTGTCTACCTCTCTCCACCCAGGGAAATTGAGCACATTTTTTAAAGTTTAAAGGAAACCTCAAACACTGTAAAATAAGCCCTCAGAACAAGGAGGCTTGGCCGGGGGCCCGTGCTCTGAGGTAACTGCAAAGTGTTGAGTTGCACCTGAGATCTGCTGGGAGGGCCCACAGCTAACTCCTGCCTGACTCAGATCCCTCCTTCTGGACCCCAGACCCGGCCAGGCCCCGGTCACTCCCTTGCACACTGCAGTCACTGAGGGCACTGAATGCCAGGCACTGTGCTGGGCACTGAAGTCAACGGAGGAAAGCGGGGCAAGACCATTCAGGACCTTCACTTACTGAGGCAGACAGACAAGAAGTAAACCACGATAAGGGGACAAAATCACTGCGGACAGTGCTGGGAAGACCACCTGCAGTGTGTCTTCGAGCCACCCCCTCCTCCAGGAAGGCAGGAGCCTGCTGCCCAGCTCAGTGTCCACACCCAACGGGCGCTCAGCAAACACCTGCTGACTTAGCACCCAAGACCACAGGTTCTCAGGGGGCTCACTGACCTCAAAGCAGGCCCGACACACTGCGCTGGAAGAAGCCCTTCCTCCCTGCTCTCTGCCCAGCCCAGAGTCCAGGAATTTTGGAATTGACTGTGACTCATCCTGCTGAGCGTGAGCCCTGGGACTCTGTACAGTGACGGACAGGCCACACTGGACACACAGCATGGGCCCAGGTCCAGTGGGCATCAGGCCAGTTGACTTCCTTGGGCAGGCCTCTCACCTTCCCACAGTGCCGACACTTGCCATCCTGGCGTCGCCGGTGTACCCAGTGGTGCCGCACAAAGGTTGGCTGGTGGAGGAGGAGAGAGGTTGTTGGGAGTGAGGCTTGGAGGAAATGAGCCCTGAGCATGGCCTGCACCCCTCAACATATCAATGACGAGGAATGGGAAGCTTCCCACAGTCCTGTGCGTGAGATGAAGGCCCGGAGCAGGGTCAAGGCTCAGAGGGGGCAAGTGGTGCCCCACCCCCTCTGTAGGCAGGGCTAGCCAGACCCTCCCCTTTGAGGCTTTCTCAGAGCCTAATCCATTGTATTTCCCTGGGTCCCCAGACAGCCTAGAAAGAGCTGAGCCCTCTGGTGGCACTTGGGAACACTGCAGAGAGATCCACTCAGGAAACTTGGCCTTAAACTACCGTGAGCACTTACCTCACGGACATTCCTGGAGCCTGATTCACGGAAGGACGGCTTACAGCGGAAATTTATCTGTGAAAGATTACAGTGTCCACCAAAGTGTCGGAACCCCCCTTTGGGGTCAGGCATATGGCCAACCCCTGCAGGACAGAGTATTCAGCATTCTCCTCACAAGACAGGATAGCTCCAAATTGTCCCGGGCGCCCTTAGAACATGGACACCACCCTGCATCCTGCCTCCTCGCCAGAAGGAAGCTCTCCTTCCTCTGCCCAGTACCCTGGGATGGGGAAGGATGAGAACGGCACCATGGTTTCCTATATTTTCCCTCCATCCCTGGCACTCCCAGCCTAGGCACCTGCAGGCACCCCAGTCCTTGCCAGCAGACTAGTGCTGACCGGTCCCTGAAGACCTTCAGCTAAGCTGTGGGACCCTGGTTTGACTTTCACTTTAGGGGTGATGACAGGTCTACAATGCCTGAGGTTGCATTTGCTTCTTTTCTCCCAACTGTCCCTGCTTCAGCCTTAGCGGAGTGTAGGGAAGCTTTATTCTGCGAGGTAAGGGCTGAGGGACACAGCCCACGTTCGCCTTGTTGGTGCCCTTCCTAGTCCTACAGGCTTTCCGGTGTGCTGGTCTGGGTTTCTGCTGCCTGGGAGCCCTCTCAGCCTGGCAGCCCTCCTGCCTCTGCCTGGACCCTCCGGCCCAGCTGCAGACACACTGGACAGCGGGCTTTGGGAAAAGGTCTCTACAGCTGCAGTATTTAGAGCCAGGATTTCGGACTACACATGACTGAGCCAGCTATGAAGCTTCAGCAAGGCGACTGCCCCTTCCAAGGATTAGGTTGGCTCCTGACAAAACTGTGTTATGGCCATGCTTTATTAATTCATCCTGCTGAGTAACAGTCAACGCGTCCCATGCTGGATATAGCGGCTAATAAAGATGGGAGCCAGGATTCAAATGTGGGCATGTCAGCTTGAGGGTCCTTGGCTTTTCACCAGCGTACACACTGTGGCCCCCTGGCAGGCAATGCTTGTGTAACACGCCTCACATATAGGTGTGTGCAGACACGTGCACTCTGAGAGGGTTCACACCCGAAGAGGCGGGGCGGGAAAGGCCGAGCAGCCACACTCACCTTCTCCAGCTGTGCGATGCAGGGGGTGTGCACCACGATCTTGCAGGCTGCACACTTTCTCCGGGGCACCGACTTCTGCTGCAGGAAAGAGAGGGCCCTGAGGCACAGGCACCTCCACCCAGGATGCTGCTTCAAGGGCAGCCAATCTTCACATCTTCCCAGCACATCCGCCCTCTGTGTGCACTAGGAACCCCCGCTGCTGACTCTGGCATCGGGGCATAGCTCCCATTCCTCTCACCACCCTCAGGCAGCCCACAGCAAAGGCGCTCAGGTGACAGCCATGTCTGCACCTTCCCCGGGTGGGGCTGCGGCTGTGCAGCCAGCAGGGGTCGGCCAACAGGCTTCTAGACCTGGCTCCATCACCAGGGGTCCGTGTGCTGCACACGACGCACTCACCAGCATCTTCGCTACACAGTACTGCTCCCCGACATAGCAGAAGTCCCCCGACACGTTGGTCTCGAACCAGATGTGCTCCCCATAGGTTGCCGACTCCTAGAAGTGAGATGAGCATCCTCAGGGCATGCTTGCCACCCAGCTCACCCGTCAGCCCCTGCCCTGGACCCACAACCTCTCTCTCCCAAGACAAACCTGCTCCGGCCGCCTCTATCTACTTTGCTCCGTCCTGTTTCCAACACGGTCCCTACTCTGGAAGACCTGGCTCAAACGTGGCCACCCAGGAGGCTTGCCCTGACCCTACAGGCCCATGGGCTCCTCTCACGGCTGCCCACAGTACCTCCACTCCCAACTGCTGGTGTGGCCCAGAGCCCAATGGGGACAGTACCCGTCTGCCCCTCCCAGCACCCAAGCCACTCACGCTCCAGTCCACAGTGCTCCGGATCTGCCGCTCTGGCTCGCTGCACGGGGCCCCGGGAGCAGGAAGAGGGGGTGCCAGGTGCTGGAGGCCCGACTTGGTGATAGCTTTCCTATAGAAGAGGAGACAGCTGAGGCCAGCTGCGCACTTGGTGACTCTGCTTTCTTCCCTCCCCACCTGGGACCTCTGCCCTCATGGTGACCTCAACCCAAGACCAAGATAGGGACGGCAATAGGGAGAGTAGAGGACCTCCCCCCCCACCCCCCTGCAGCCCAAGACTGAGAGGATTCCTGCAGGAGACTCAGCCTTCCTCACAGCCCTTCTGGGGGCGCTGCTCCAAAGCAGGGCGCCCCGAGGTCAGGCGGAGCCTCGAGGCCCTCGCTCCACGCCAGCCCCCTTGGAGGCCGCACCACGTGCCCTGCCCGCCGCGGCTATACCTACGCAAGCAGGGCGCTCCAGGCCTGGGGTCCGGCCGACTTGCGCCGTAGGGCTACCTGGCGCCTGCGGGAGAGTGGGCGCACGCGGGCAGGCATCGCGGGGCTGGCTGTGGCGCCTGAGGCTTTTCGGCCCCCGGGGCCAGGCTGCTGGCCTGAGGGTCGCTGCTGGCTGAGGCGCCGATAGTAGCCATGCAGGCCCCAGAGGGCCCGGTCATACACCGCGTCGGCGGGCAGCAGGTGGGAGGAGGTCCTGCGCCCGTGCAGGCAGCGGGGCGCGGGCAGCAGGGTCCCCGCGCTCTGGCGTGGGGAGGGCCCCGATCTCTTGGTGTCTCGCTGGGTGGTACTCAATGCTGCAACTGTCACATCCTCCTCCTGGACCCCCTCTTCCTCCTTCTCCTCACTCATGCCCACAAGTCCGGCCAACAGCAGGGGTGCGCCCAGAAGCTGGGCCCCGACAGTGGCAGGCTGTGAGGTGGGCACCTCACTCACGACGAAGCGGGGGTTGCGGGCTGGGGGTGCAGTGCTGGAGCGGCGGCGGCTGGTGCCCGGGGCCCGCAGCCCGCAGCCCAGGAGGCAGCCCTGGGGCTGAGCGCTGGAGCGGCGCCGCTGTGCCAGCGAGGAGGAGGCCTGGCCGGCGGGGGAGCGGCGCCGCGCCTTGCCGGTCGGCAGCCCCACGCCACTGGGCCGCCGCTGCCCCTCTCCAGGGCCTGGCGCCTTCCACTGGAAGTGTCTCCTAAAAAAGGTCTCCATGCGGGGGCAGGCGGGCGCCTGTCGGGCACAGAGACCAGGAGCGTCAGGACCTGGGCTGGGCCATGGCCCTGCCTGGGCCCAGGAGCCCAGCACAGCCCCTGCCTTTGAGCAGAGGAGGCCCTTGGTGGTGGGGGAGGGATGACATGGCCTCTGACTCCGTCAACAGGGAGTCTGAGGGTAGCAGGGAATCCTCCAGGGAGCCCACGTTTCCCATGTGTGGGAGCACAGATGCTCTCCCCAGTTATACTATAGGCTGCCCCGGGAGTAATGGGCACTTCGGCTACCTATCCCGGCTTCCCCAGTCCAGGCACCGTAATCCACAAAGTCTGGCCTAAAGGACTTCTCTTGCCTGAAGCTGATGGAAATAAAATAAAAGGAAGCTGGAAGTCTGGAGCCCTGGGTCCCATTTCGGAGTTGGCCTCGACAACGGAGGGCAGAGGGCAAGGCCCTTCGTCCTTCGTCCCCAGCAAGGTGCGGCTAGGTTAGGTGTCCCCTCCGGGGAAAATGGCACAGACTAAGGCAGGAAAACAAAACCAACAAACTCAGTCCTTTGTAAGCCTCCCTGACGCTCAGCTCCAGAGTCTCGGGGAGAGGCTGAATGGCACCTAGAAACGGAGAGCGTCTGACATCTGCCTTTACTTCCGAGGACGGAGGCAGATGCGGGGAGAGGCCACCCCGGTCTTTATGGGGGGCGGCGTGAGGAGACTGCAGGGGGGCAGGGAAGCCAGCAGAAAAGCCTTCTGCATTTGGGTTTGTGCACGTGTCTGGATCTCTGCGGGGCTGAGAGCAAGAACTTTTCTGGAACGAGGCTGCTCGGTCTCCCTCTAAGGCACAGCAAGGACATCCCTGTGGGAAAGTACTGGGTGAGGTCTGCAAAGCCGTCCAGCCCTGCTGCGGAGGGTGCCGGGGGAGTGTACTCATTCTAATGAGTGCCAGAAGCCCCAACGCCATTCCAAACACTGAGCTGCCCTCAGCCACCTGCCGGGAGGCAGGACCCTTGTGGCCTTCCTTGCTAAAACCATCCTCTCTTCACCTTCCTGAACACCTGCTCCACTTTCTCTGCCAGCTCACCTGTCCTGCCACCCCTTCTCCACAGGCCACCAGATCACCTGCGCCTTGTCTCTCCCTACCAGTGAGGGAATGGCACAAAGCCTGGCACTGCTTGGGGGAGGAGGGGGCACCCCCGGAGTGCCCAGGGATGCCTGTGTCCCTCCACGGGGTGCTCTTCTGAGCCCTGACAGCTTCAGGGCGGTCTGAGTCACGGCCCTCAGACATCGGCCTGGGGCTGACAGGAGAATACTTGGTCTGCTGAGGGCCTGAGTGGGTGGGAAATGATGGGCTTGAGGAGTCAGGCCTGGCTACACATCTAGCACCTACTCCTCCCACGCACCTGCCCACCCATTCTTTGATTTGCTACTGCGCTGTGGGTCTGGGCAGGCAGTGTCAGGCTGGAGCCTGGATGGGTGCAGGGGTGCTGAGGGGCAGGCGGACGGGTTGAAGTGCCTGAGTCCTGTGATCAGTGAGCGGCCCAGGCAGCCGTGCCTGGGGAAGCATGCTCTAGACTGCCTGGCTCCGGCTCTCTGCCCGTCACAGGACCAGCCCCTGCAGGTGATAGGAAAAAGGGCAGGAGGTGAGCTCTGTGGGCAGAGAGTTCTTGGCTGCTTTCTGAAATCAGTATCATCCCGGCTGGTATTTACCAGGTGCTCATTGTGTAGGGCCCTGTGTCGTGCCCTTTATAAGCACATAGATCATTTTGTGAACCTCAGCCACCTTGAACGTAGTTTCACATCATGTTCCTGATGGGAAACTGAGGCTCGAAGAAGCAACCTGCCCCAGATCCAAAGCTAGTTGGTGTACAGCCAAAGTTGGAACCCACGTCTACGTGAAGGTAAAGCCTGCAGCCCAGAGACGCAGTGGAAGCAGGGTCTTTCCCCTTGGGTGAGAGAGCTAGGACTAAGGTGGAATGGGGGAGGAGAGGGAAAGACCGGCCCTGGGCTAAGCGCTTGCATTTACCACCTCATCTGATCCCCGCCACAAGCCTGTGAGGCAGGCAGGATCAATGGATCCATTACAGAGATGACAAAACTGAGGCTTGAAGAGGTACAGTAACATGCCCAAGGTCCCACAGCTGGTCAGTGGAAGAACTGGGACCCAAAACCCAGACCTGCCTGACTCAGGGTTTGCTCTGCGCCCAGGAAGAGAGAAGCCTGAAGGCCCAGCTGCCCATTGCTGCCAGGGCACTGGCTTGCCAGCACCCCTCAGGGTATCAGTTTTCCCCACCCGCTTGGTCAGGCCGCCCTGTGACAGCTGCCCAGCCTGGAGATTAGTCACCCGGACACACCGCCTGATGCTAGTGTCACCCAGAAAACAAAAGGCCACAGTCAGTGGGGGTGGGGGAGGTGCAGCAGGCGCTCTGTGGGCAGTGGTGAGGGCTGAGGGCTAGGCCCCGTCTGCTGCTCTAGATCCTCACTGACAAGAGGGGCCAGAGGAAGAGGTCACTTGCACACCCCACCTCAGGACACGGGAGCCCCTACAGCCGCCTGGCCCACACACTGCTGGGCAATCCCAAGTCCACGTCGGCTAGGCGTCTCCTCAGCTATCGGAGTACAGTCACTCTGAGCGGGGAGCAAGGCAGGCCTGGCCAGTGTTGTGTGTGGCCATGTGCAAAGCTGACCCTCAACAGGCCTCAGTTTCCTTATTTGTACAAGGAGACTATCAGACTGGCTGATTTGACATTTTATGACAAGCTCTCCTGCCAGGCACCCAAGCCTCTCTGCTCCCAAGCCCCCTCACCCCTCTCCCAGGCCCCGATGCCACGCTTCCTGTTCCTCTGATCTCCATCGAAACCTCTGTCCTCTGGTCAGCAACTGCCTGACTCTTGACTTCCTGACTGCCGAGGCTTCTCCGGGGACTGACTGGTCAGAGCACAGGCGGGGCCTCAGGCCTGCCCTCGCCTTTTCCCTGCCTCAGCCCGGAGCCTTTTCCCACAGCACAGCTCTGAGCTGCGGCTTCTTTTCACCTCACGTGTGAGAAGTGACCTCCGTCACTTTTCACAGACCGGAGGCGGCCCACAGGGTTCCGACACACGGCACACTGGCTGCCCCTCAGCCTCTGGGTGGAAGGCTGGGGAAGCCCGTCACACCCGGAGGAGACAGGATGGGGAAGGACTCACGAGCCCCATCAACCTCCCGCCGGCTGCTGGGGTCCGAGGAGGACAAAGGGTGCCAAGGGAGAGACATGCAAGGTGGTATCTTGACAACAGGAGTGTGGCTCAGGCAGCTGCCAGGAGTGAGGGAGCAGCACGAGTGCTCCGGCTAGAGAGGACAGGACTCTCAGCCTCCCAGCCGGATTGTCTCACACTCTCTGCTGGTTTCAAGTGGAAAAGCCCCCAAAGGCTTTGAAATCTGTACCTGCCATTGTTTTTCTGGGCTGATCAATTAACCTTCTGAGTCTCGATGTTCTCATCTGCAAAATGGGATGATGCCATCGAGTTCAGAAGGTTGGAATAAGGGACGTTCTGAGGAGATACTGGTATAAAGCACCTGATGATACAATAGCTGGGGAGAGCAGGAACGTGGCAGAGCCCACACCCACAGCAGACACCAGGTATGCGGGTTGCTGCCTCCCGTCTCTGCCCGTGGCGGGAGTGGGAACCAGAAAGGGAAGCAGGAGTACCCAGGGTGGCTACCACCCACCGTATGAGGAACAGAGCCTGGCAGCTAGATCCACCTGGGTGTCTGCTCATGCCAAGAGGAATGTCCTGTGCCCTTGGTGCCAGGCCTGTCCCCAGGGACTCCTCCGCCCCATGGGACTTAGCCAGAGTGCCCAATCTATGCTGTCGGGCAGGACCCTACTCCCAGCAGGCCCCTCTGGCTACTCTACCTGCGGACTGCTAGGCAGGGTCCCCACTTCCCCACCTCTACTCACTCAGGAGATCATGAAAAAAAGCAAAAAGCAAAAAGAAAGAAAGAAAGAAAAAAAAAAGCACTTGGGGAGCAGGTGAGCCTGGAGGATAAAGGAGGCAACCAGGCCAGTAATGTTTACCTCCGTTGGGTCTGCCCTGGCTGGGGACAAACATTTCAGCTCTCCTTTCCCTTTCCATCAGTTTCAGGAGCCATTCTAGGGATGGTGGTGCCTGGGCCCACCCTGATCCACCCCAACCCAGACCCACCCGGACATATGCAGGAGGGAGGAAGCAGAAGGCAAGGAAAGGTTGGGGGA